ATCACTGCTTAGCAACAGTTGCTAGCCACTTTTCAGCATATATGTTTCTATTTTAGTCAAGAGATATGCCTGTGTGGCTTTTAAAATACACTTCATACCATGAAAGACGGCAGAATGTTGTTTTCCACCCGTCTCCAAAGCCAAAAATAGACTTAAAAATGTCAGCTTTGGGTTCATCTGTGTGGTAAACCTGTGTGGTTTCCAAACACATCTGTCTTCCTGTTTACGAGTCATTTCATTTTCATAACACTCGTAGTTGATAATATTAGCTAATCTGGCTGAATAATATTGTAGTGTTGTGCTACTGGCTGGTGCTTGTACCAAGAAACCCTGGAGATGTGGCTAGGCAGATGACCACAAGCAAAGGCTCATGGTAGCACTTGCCCTCCAACAAAGGGACTAAATATTGTTGTTTTTAGGTTGGTAGTTGGCAATCTGTGTATTTGTGTTTATTGTGTTATTATGTGTTGGGGCAGTAGGTGAGTCAAAGCAGTTGGTGAGTCAGTGCTGCGAGAGAGAGGACATCGTCCTGGGTCGCCAGGTAGTTAGATGCTGGCAGAGGAGATTCAGCGGCAACCAGGGGTTGTGGGCCAACGAGGCCATGAGCTTGCCGATATCTCTACTGCAATGAGCATTGCAACGACCATTCTCAGTGAGGTTGCTGACTTTTACCCTCCTCTGCTATCATTGCAGACTGGCAGGGTCGCCTACAGAGCAGCGCTAGTAGCCTGCTAATGAAGTAATGTTCTTTATATTTGAGCCTGGTTCCATTTCGAAGAGGAAGATTTTAACCACTACCCCTTGTAACCCAGTTCCAAGGGCCAGGTGACACTCAAAAATGAGGGGTAGGGGTAAAAAAAGGAATGGGATTGGGCCCTAGTCTATGACAGGGCTGTTTAGGGTGAAATACACTGAAACACCTTTACATATGCATACTACTCGCACACACTCATGATGTGTTCAGCTGTGTGTGCGAGATTTACATTATATGCAAACATACATATTTATTATTATTTATTGGTGTACTTTCATTGACAGTGACAGTGCAAGAAAGTTTGGGTTGGCTTAGGGTTGGCTAACTGCAACTGCTGAAAGTTATTTTAATTTGTATTTTTATGTAGTAGCCCTTGTCTTGTTTACATTAACAGTGTATTTTCAATACAGTGAGCACAATCGCTCCCCTCGCCCACTGCTGAACGCTTCACTAAAACACAGGCAGGTTGAGGTGCAAATAGGGAAGTGTGTGCAGGGCCCAAAAGCTGCCTAATATTATTTTTTAAACTTCAAAGAAAAAAAAAAATGTAATGATGCTCTGCGCTTTGGATACATTCTTTTTTCATGAACTCTTTTTTCTCCACCGGGAGCGTGTTCCAGTGTGTGACTGTGGCCGTGACAGTACTGCGCCTCACATCAACAATCTGATTGGACATCACTCAACTGATTTGCATAAAGTTCATCTGGAACATAGATATACATACCTAGATGCCACATTGGCACCAGCCAGGCATGTCAACAGTGCAGCCATTTTGGGGCAGTCAGCATTGCTGTTGGACTGCATTCAGTACCATTACAGAGCAGCAATTTAAGGAAGATACTGTCCATAATTATACTATTTAAAAATATTGCACTCAATATCCACATTGGTGAAGCACAGAGAATCTGTTAATGGTATTGTTTTTCCTCTGGTTTTATATTAAGCTTGTTTCATTTAATAGCTTAAACTTGGGATCATAACTTGATGTAGAAGTTGTTTATTTACACTAATTGTTAAAGCTTTGTAGCTGGGTAAAATCTGTGTACATATCATAATAGATTAGCACCTTCTTACATGAAGCAGAAGCTTCTCATTCACCAAGCATTCACCAGGCTCCAACATGGCAGATATGCAGACACATCGCCTCAGATAGAGAACATGAAAAAAAGGCAAGCATGATGCCACTGTTCCTGTCAGGCATATACACTGTTAAATTAATTGACTTTACTGAAAAAAAAGCAAATTTATTGCCTCAAAAAAATTAAGTGAAGTTACTTAACAGATTCATTGCAAGATTTAATTTACTATCCAAAACCACCAGTGAACCTACATGTGTCTTCTGAGTTATTATATGTAATGTTGATGATTGTAAAATAGTCAGAAACCTGAAACAATACATTTTCTTTGGGGCTTTTGCCTTAGAACACCCTTCATGTAGTTGGATTAAAACAAATTTATTAAAATACCATTTAGACCAAAACTTTTTTGTCAGAAATATGCCATAAAACAATGTTTCTGGCAATAAGCACCATATTCACAATCATTTCATGTAGTAACTTTCTGTTAGAGGAGCATTTCACACCAAACCACTCTGAATGACTTTATTTACATTTCACCCATTTAATTATGTAGAATTTCTGAAAATTTGGTGGAGTTCCCCTTTAAATCCTCGACACCAAATCTCCCATGTGTCCACTGCCTTCTGCCTTTAGAAATTCAAACTTGTGTCTGTTTGGAAAGGTAACTAGTGGCGACAGGGTGCAGTAACCCAACTGTTGGGTAAAAAACTCAGCTACTGTTTCACACCATGAACCCAAAAGTTGTAATAGAATGAGGAAAAAAGGCAAATAACCCAGCAAAACTACCCAGCTGCCTGAACCCTGCACCTGGGTAGAAAAAATATCCCAGCATTTTTTAGACTACAGGGTGTGTGGGATCACTACAACTTTAAAAAAATATAATTTCAATGGAATATGGTACAATTTTGTTCCCCAACTAAAGATGTGATGTATTCGGCGACCTTTCACCTTTTATACAAATAAAAAATGCCAAATTTGCAGTGAATGTGAAAAAAACGATATGCTCCTATTAGATCTATGCGCTTTTTAACACAGCAAAGTAAAAGCATGTTAGTTGTGTGCTTGAGTGTCACTTTCACAGACGTGGTTTGGTTTGTGGTTTTAGTGAGTCCCTAGTTTAGCGGCTCCAAACCCAGTTTGGGAACCACTGTCTTAGAACATACTAACTACACGCAGCATTTAGCATTTTGTTTACATGTTTGTAGCACTGTTAAAAGCTGAGCGGATGATGTTACTGTGATATGTGTGATCTGTTCTCTGTAAGTAAATATACCCTCAAACATACAGTAGTCGTCTTTAGGCCCAAGGTACACTACATTCACTATTCCATGTAAAAGGGACATATTTTTTCCTCTCTATATAGTCCTCTCTATATAGTCCATATATGGAAACAGCCTGTTATTAAATATTTGTTTTAGTAATGTCATGAAAAACAATTCTATTTGCTATTTTGCCAAGTTGTGATTGTCCTGAGGGTAACGACTAATGACACACCAGCCAATCAAAGTATCATATAGTCTATGACACCATCAATGTAAAAAAGAAATTTAAAAGAAGGAGCTGAGCTAACCAACTTGGTAAAGTTTCTTATCTTAAGGTAAGTAAAATTTTTATCAGACTCTTGCTTATTTTCTTTTGATAAATTAATAGTTAGGGATAGATATGTGTAGCTTTTTTAGAATAGAATGGTAGAATAGCATGTGTTTTTATTGTCATTGCACCGCAGTACAACAAAATGTACATTGCAGGACCTGATGGTGCTAGATGAGTAAATTTACAAAAATACATCATAAAATAAAATTAATGACACATATAAACACTATTCACACAAAAGCATTCAGCCACCATACATACTAACGATTCCAAAATTCCTATTCTGTGCAGACATGCATCCACACATCATTATTGCATATAGTGAAACTTATTGCGCATTAACATTGTACCAATTAGTTGTATATTGATAGATACATAAACCTTTGAGATGGTAGTGAGTGGAGGGCCAGTTGGTTCATGGTTAGGACATGATAGGGCAGGGGTGCTCAATCCTGGCCCTGGAGATCTACCACCCTGGAGAGTTCAGATCCAACATACCAGGCTATGATATTCAAATTCTCCTGAAGGCCTTCATTGTCAGGATCAGGTGTGTTAGATTAGGGTTGGGGCTAAACTCTGCAGGCTGGTAGATCTCCAGGACCAGGAATGAGCACCTCTGGATTAGAACATTAATCAAAATGTTCTTGGGCTCCCGAGTGGTGCAACCGTCTAAGCGTTGGCCCTGTCATCAGGAGATTGCGAGTTCGATCCCTGGTGATGCTACAGCCATCCGTAGCCGGGAGTCCAAGAGAGCACAATTGGCCTCGCTCTCTCTGGGTGGGTAGGATGGCCCCTCCTTCTCCCCCATCACTTAATGCTAGTCAGCGCAGGCATCTGTTAGCTGACGTAAAAGATCTGGCGGTTGGCGCTTTCCTCCGAGCTCGTTCAGCTGTCCAATGACATTGCGTGAGCGGCAGTTCGAAAAGAAGTGGTGGCTGGCTTCACAGGTCTCAGAGGAAGCCTGTGTTAGCCTTCGCCCTCCTAGCGTTGATAGTATCGTGTGACTGGGGGAGTCCTAACTAGCGGGTGGAATTGGCGACGACTAAATTGGGGAGATAATTGGGTTAAAATCCCCCCCAATATATATATATATATATATATATTATTAAAAAAAATCTTCTTCTATTTTGCACATTTGAAAGATGGTTAAATACATTACTGGCAACACAATCATTAAATTAATCAAACATGTTAATTGCACATCATTCTGTAAGTTGAGATCTCAGTATATAGATGTAACGTCCTGTCGTGCCTTGTCATTGTCTTTCTCTGTTTTAGCCTTGGTTTTCTTGTTTTTCTCTGTCATGTGCTTTTGTTTACATCTGACATGTCTTTGTTTTCTAGTCCATGTGTTTGTTTTTTGTTGTTTTAGCTCCTCCCATTTTGTTACGTGTTCAGACCACACCTCTTTCTTGTCCTTAGCTCCCCCTGTCATTTTTCTCAGCTGTCTTTCATTTTGAGTGTTTGTATATATATATATATATATATATATATATATATATATTCATTCTAGTGTTCTCTTTGCTTGGCATTGAATGTGAATCTGAATGTGAATCTGTGTGTGTGTGTTCTTGTTCTGGATTGTTCATAGATTAGTTGTAGCTTTATGTTCTTGTTTTAGTTTGCTCTTAGTTCTGTTCATGTTTCTTTTGTCATGGCCATGGACTCAAATAAAACCCACTCGCACATGCATCCTGCTTCATCTCCTGGACTCCTAATGTTACAATAGACCATAAAAATACATTATACAGTAATTCACTTCCTTAAAAAAGTGGCTGCTATTTTGCACTTCAACATATACTAAAATAGTTTCTATTAATAAACAGATCAACAGATTCAGTTTCTCTTAGTTCACCATAGGGCTACATCATATGTTATAAACAATAATTTTTCAGGTTTTTGGCTATACAAATACATCTCAAAATTCATGTATTCTGACTGAGATGGCTTAAAAGAGTCATTTGAGTATTTTTTATTCAGAAGAACCAGAATGTGGACTATGCAGCTACAACAGATCATGCAGGTTTGGAGGTAAACCAATTTTTGTCAAATAGATTTTAAAAAATGAACAGTTTTACGATAACGGTGGTTTGATGTGAATCCATGCTATTTAGGCACTCTTGTGTCTCTCGATACCTCTCTCATTATCACTTGAGGTTGCCATTTTGCTAATGAGGCTTATCATGCTCAGACTTCTGAGACAGGAAGCAGTTGCCACACTACAACAACTGCCCCAGTCCTCTGAAAGCTCAACTACCCATATAAAAAGTTCATTATGGTCCTTTAGTTTGTAACAAATAATTGGAAATATTTTACATACATGAAAAAAACAGCTGTTAGTTTAGGCAATTTTGGACGTAACACATGGGCAGAATCCGTTTGGCCCCAGAAACTGGCACAAAAGATTTTATGTAGTTCGTTGGGTCCTATATGCCTTTATAATGACTAACCAATAAGAGCTTGATTTATTAAAGTGGGCCTGTTGATACTATAATATGTCCATCATAAAAATGCCCAAAGCTTTATTAAAAATATGGAAAGTAAATATATTGAAAACTGAAAACAGTTCCAAAATTAAAATCAGACAATCTATCTACTGGTCTGAGTAAATGAGGTCCTGAATATGTCATTTAACTTTAAAAAGAATCCTTACTCACACATTTCATTAACAAATATGGTACTTTAAAGAAATATGAATTTAAAGTTTCTTATGGGAACCAAAGTGGCATCTTTTTCCAGCTGCCATGAGTTCAGTGATGTCTAAATATAATGCAATTTTCATGATTCACCAATGGATACATCACTAAAAATGATTTTTAAAACATCACATTTATGAATTATTCCCCAAAGCAGGGCTGATCCCATATCAGAGCAGCACCATGTCCAGGTAATATCACTCCCTGGTAATCAAGGCTGTTTAGCGACTGTCCTCACCCGAGTCTTCCCCAGACAGATATACATCAGAACCTGAAAGCAAATGAAAAAAGTATTTAATACAACAGTTTTCTATGGCCACATCATCAGTGATAGTGAACCAGTAGTTTGACAGTTGATACATGTAAAATTGTGAAGCAAATAAATGCATAATTTTTAGATGCACAGCATTTTATTACAGTTAATCACTTACCTCAGTTGCTGTAGTTGGTAATGTTTATTATCTTTAAGATCAGAGAGCACCTTCACTCCTGAGTTTCCTAATTTATTCCTAAACAGATCCAGCTCTCCCAGGTGTGAGGGGTTTGATTTCAGAGCTAAGGCCAGAGAAGCACAGCCGTCATCTGTGATATTACACTGCAATAACCTGAAAGAACAAAGACAAACTCTTCACTCTCTCTGTTCAGAACACACAGATCTGTTCAGCAGAAACATTATCAACAAAAAGTCACAAAAAACATCTTAAGCCTTATCAGACAGGATTAGTTTACATGAGGAGGTGAGGTAAGATAATTTACCCACAATTCTCAGTTATTTTATTCTTGACTGAACATGCCATGTCAGTCATATTTACCAACTTTGCACTCCCACGTTAGTAAAATTTTTGTGGCCTAAGGTAAACAAAATAATGGGTAAATTAAATGTTTTCTGCTCTTTTCCAGTGTAGAGACATAAATTGAGTAGCCACTCTAATATCTGTCATTTAGCCCGAGATTTCTTGTCCTGTGCAAATTGGACATAAACATTACAGATGTCCTGAGGTAAAATAGCATTACCCCACTTCTCCATGGAAAACTAATCCCCTCTGAATTTGGGATTTAGCCTAATAACCTTTTCTACATGAAATGCAGTTCAGAATGCTTCACAGAAAGACATAATAGATGGAGTAAAAATGAACACTACAGTGTGGGATAAAAGGTAAAAGTAAAGAAAACAGCATGCAATAACAAATAGATAAAGTATCATAGTATGGGATAGCTTTTCACTATCCCATACTAAGTTTAATGTGAGACCAAATATGCTTTACATAGGTCAACCTATTAGTTCTTATCAGTATTAGTTTTACCTACCAGTTTGAGCTTGGCCCTTTTTTGCATCTCATAGTGCAAATAGCATGTGCAGCTCATTCAGGAATCAATTAAATATATTCAATGAAATATATTTCATCATCAAATTACCATGTTTTTGATACATCATCAAAAGCACAGTAATTATTCATCAGTTAATCAATTAATCATCAATTTCAATGACATCTCAGGAGGAGGGCTGGTTCTAGACTATGGGAGGCCCTAAGTAAAATTTTACCTTAGTGCCCCCCTTCCCCCAGGAGATCCTAATTCATCAAAATATTTGTTCACTTAATCAATAATTAAAATATGACATGAAAAAACAATGATCTTATCTATATAATAATTATCTGGAGATGTTTTTACTTACTTTGCAACATAGAACGTCAAAACACAACCAACTATTATATGCCTCTCATATTAAGTAAAACAGCCACAAGCGGAGCTATACATATTTCACAGAAATTGTGGAAAAAATCATTTTTTTCTAGGATTTAATCTATATATTATGCAGAGTAGTATGACTTATACATTAGCATGCCTACAATCACATCAGAGATGTTATAAATAAATAAAGAGCTTACTAGATGACATATTAATGGGAAAGTTCATAAGACTGCACTGTTGCACTGGTATTGTCAGATTTCCAACATGATTTGCAACATGTTTTTGAAGTGTTAATATGGCCTTCATGTTTAGATTTATAGATCTCTCCTCGTTAAAGCAATTTTGTAGCTGGTAAAACTGGAAATAGCTGCCTAAAGGTGTTGCCAAGGTGGCCATCGAGTGGACAGGCTTTCCTAAAAGGACTTTGATCACTTACAGCTCTTTTTGTTTGTGTGTTTAATTTATCATGTTGCAGTTGCTTGTTGATGTCTACACTCTGTAGATCATATAATGATCATACAGTATATTAAGCATGTGTGAGGCCTGAACTCATGAGAACACCAGCATACAAATCTCTGCTCAAACACTGAAACAGGTGAGAAGCTAGTCTGAGGGCCATCTCAGCAGATAAATTTGAGCACATATAACATGTTCAGGGATGCTGCTACATAAAAGAACAACTGGAGGAAAATATAGCATCTGTGACTGGCTGCATTAACAAACATAGCTGATGTGATTTCCTTCAAGACCAACACCATACATGCGAAGCCGTTCTGACTACGGAACATATGCAGCTGAATGCTGCCTTTACGTCAGACGACAAGGCAGCCCTCAGGACATCAAGAGCCAACTTGTTCCAAACTGCCAGAGAGGCTATTCACATGGACACTAAACACCAGAGACACATGTGTATACAGCAGAGATGGAAGGCTTCTGGCCATAATGATGTACATGGCTGGGTGCTCAGGGGATGTGTTGACAAGCTTGTAGATTTCCTAACAGAAACAAATCAAAATATTACATTAAATTAAACATTTTCCTGAGCAAAGCATCTGTCCCGGAGTGCTTGAAAACTACTACAGTCATCCTTGCGCTGAAGAGCTCATCTGGGTCTTGCGTCACTCTTAACTTGTAACACCTACTCCAGTCATCATGAAGTGAGGGTCATGAAGCACATAAAGAGCAGTCTTTCTTGAACACTGGAGTCATTTAAGTTCATAAATCACTAACCGGTTTAGAGAGAATAGCATATCCTCTGCCAATCGCCTTTCAGTGACCCACCTGGACAGAATGCACAATTGTGTGAGATGTTGAAAAGCTTACTGAAAAGCTGAACTTGTTGGGCCTGAATACCTCCCTTTGCAACTGGATCCTGACTGGGAAACCTCAATCTATCAGGATTGGCAACACCATCTCCATATTTTGGAATGTGCATTGTGTCCTTTCTGTCAAAAGGGCATTTGTGAGGTCAGGCACTGAAGTTGGATGAGAAGGCCTGGCTCACAATTGGTGTTCCAATACATCCAAAAGGTGTTCAATTGGGTTAAGGTCAGGGCTCCACGCATACCTTGACTTGTCAAACCATGTCTTTATGGACTTTGTGCATAGGGAAATGCTAGAACAGGAAAGGAACAGAGTCATGCTGGAACAGGAAAGGGCCTTCCCCAAACTGTTGCCGCAAAGTTGGAAGCATTGTATAAAATGTTTTTGTGTGCTGTAGCATTTACATTATTCTTTACTGGATCTAAGTGGCCAAGGTCAAACACTGAAAACAGCCCCAGACCATCATTCCTCCTCCTCCAAACTTTAATGTTGGCACTATGCATTTTAGTAGGTAATTCTTGGACCTTTAATAACTTGGGTGTGCCTTACTGAGGACTGGGTCATGTGTGAGTCTCAGAGAGATGATCTTACCTCAGTATTTCCAGTTTACAGAGAGGATTCTTTAGTCCAGCAGAGAGCAGCTTCACTCCTGAATCTCTTAGATTATTCACAGAAAGATCAAGCACTCTCAGGTGTAAGGGGTTTGACTTCAGAGCTGAAGCCAGAGCACCACAGCCTTCATCTGAGATATTACAACCATGCAGCCTTCAGAGAGAACAATGACACACTCTTCACTCTCTCAGTTCAGAACACACAGATCAGTTCAGCAGCAACTTTATCAAGGAGTCAATCTTTTATCACTATGAAGTATTCGTTATGTATGGAGTGATGTGTAGAATTTATCAAACCAACAACTAAAATAATGATAAAAATAAATTTATTTATCTACATGTGTGTGAGTTAGAGAGAGAGGGAAAGAAAAAAGCTAGACAGAGAGGCAAAAAACAGACTTTTATACTATTATATATGATAAATGAGGAACTAAGCTATCAAGCTAGAGAGGCTCCATCAGTCTGCGGTAAAACATATGAAAAATTATGCCAAACACAACTTCTGCCTCAATCAAGACTATGCCTTACTCAGGATCAGGTCGTGTGACACTTAGAGAGATGATCTTACGTCAGAGTCTCCAGTTCACAGAGAGGATTCTCCAGTCCAGTAGAGAGCAGCTTCACTCCTGAATCTCCTAGTTTATTCCCAGTTAGATCCAGCTCTCTCAGGTGTGAGGGGTTTGATTTCAGAGCTGAAGCGAGAGCAGAACAGCCATAATCTGTGATTTTACAATCCCACAATCTGCAGAGCAAACAGTGATCATTAAAGAGTCACTATAGTCACTTTACTTCACTATGCATCTTTTTACAGGCTATTAGTTCATATAATTTAAGCAGACTTTTTCTGTTTCTATATTTCACTGTAAATTCTGCATTTTAAAGGATGCATTGCATACTGGGTAGTTTGCTTGTCACCCCACTGTTTACAGCTGCAGCAGAAAGTCTGGCAGCCAAGCAAGATTAGAGGAGAAACTGCTGCTTCATCATGGAAGAGAGGACCGCTTTAATGACATTGTAACTACATGATAATGTTTAACTTAGACATGCGGCTACACTACTTATACTTCATAATCCACCATGAACTACTTAAAAACCACAAGCTGTAGCTTTTGGAATGGCCTTCAGTCCCCTGACCTGGACATCATTTAAAATCTGTGGGTAAAAAACAATGATCTTATCTATATAATAATTATCTGGAGATGTTTTTACTTACTTTGCAACATAGAACGTCAAAACACAACCAACTATTATATGCCTCTCATATTAAGTAAAACAGCCACAAGCGGAGCTATACATATTTCACAGAAATTGTGGAAAAAATCATTTTTTTCTAGGATTTAATCTATATATTATGCAGAGTAGTATGACTTATACATTAGCATGCCTACAATCACATCAGAGATGTTATAAATAAATAAAGAGCTTACTAGATGACATATTAATGGGAAAGTTCATAAGACTGCACTGTTGCACTGGTATTGTCAGATTTCCAACATGATTTGCAACATGTTTTTGAAGTGTTAATATGGCCTTCATGTTTAGATTTATAGATCTCTCCTCGTTAAAGCAATTTTGTAGCTGGTAAAACTGGAAATAGCTGCCTAAAGGTGTTGCCAAGGTGGCCATCGAGTGGACAGGCTTTCCTAAAAGGACTTTGATCACTTACAGCTCTTTTTGTTTGTGTGTTTAATTTATCATGTTGCAGTTGCTTGTTGATGTCTACACTCTGTAGATCATATAATGATCATACAGTATATTAAGCATGTGTGAGGCCTGAACTCATGAGAACACCAGCATACAAATCTCTGCTCAAACACTGAAACAGGTGAGAAGCTAGTCTGAGGGCCATCTCAGCAGATAAATTTGAGCACATATAACATGTTCAGGGATGCTGCTACATAAAAGAACAACTGGAGGAAAATATAGCATCTGTGACTGGCTGCATTAACAAACATAGCTGATGTGATTTCCTTCAAGACCAACACCATACATGCGAAGCCGTTCTGACTACGGAACATATGCAGCTGAATGCTGCCTTTACGTCAGACGACAAGGCAGCCCTCAGGACATCAAGAGCCAACTTGTTCCAAACTGCCAGAGAGGCTATTCACATGGACACTAAACACCAGAGACACATGTGTATACAGCAGAGATGGAAGGCTTCTGGCCATAATGATGTACATGGCTGGGTGCTCAGGGGATGTGTTGACAAGCTTGTAGATTTCCTAACAGAAACAAATCAAAATATTACATTAAATTAAACATTTTCCTGAGCAAAGCATCTGTCCCGGAGTGCTTGAAAACTACTACAGTCATCCTTGCGCTGAAGAGCTCATCTGGGTCTTGCGTCACTCTTAACTTGTAACACCTACTCCAGTCATCATGAAGTGAGGGTCATGAAGCACATAAAGAGCAGTCTTTCTTGAACACTGGAGTCATTTAAGTTCATAAATCACTAACCGGTTTAGAGAGAATAGCATATCCTCTGCCAATCGCCTTTCAGTGACCCACCTGGACAGAATGCACAATTGTGTGAGATGTTGAAAAGCTTACTGAAAAGCTGAACTTGTTGGGCCTGAATACCTCCCTTTGCAACTGGATCCTGACTGGGAAACCTCAATCTATCAGGATTGGCAACACCATCTCCATATTTTGGAATGTGCATTGTGTCCTTTCTGTCAAAAGGGCATTTGTGAGGTCAGGCACTGAAGTTGGATGAGAAGGCCTGGCTCACAATTGGTGTTCCAATACATCCAAAAGGTGTTCAATTGGGTTAAGGTCAGGGCTCCACGCATACCTTGACTTGTCAAACCATGTCTTTATGGACTTTGTGCATAGGGAAATGCTAGAACAGGAAAGGAACAGAGTCATGCTGGAACAGGAAAGGGCCTTCCCCAAACTGTTGCCGCAAAGTTGGAAGCATTGTATAAAATGTTTTTGTGTGCTGTAGCATTTACATTATTCTTTACTGGATCTAAGTGGCCAAGGTCAAACACTGAAAACAGCCCCAGACCATCATTCCTCCTCCTCCAAACTTTAATGTTGGCACTATGCATTTTAGTAGGTAATTCTTGGACCTTTAATAACTTGGGTGTGCCTTACTGAGGACTGGGTCATGTGTGAGTCTCAGAGAGATGATCTTACCTCAGTATTTCCAGTTTACAGAGAGGATTCTTTAGTCCAGCAGAGAGCAGCTTCACTCCTGAATCTCTTAGATTATTCACAGAAAGATCAAGCACTCTCAGGTGTAAGGGGTTTGACTTCAGAGCTGAAGCCAGAGCACCACAGCCTTCATCTGAGATATTACAACCATGCAGCCTTCAGAGAGAACAATGACACACTCTTCACTCTCTCAGTTCAGAACACACAGATCAGTTCAGCAGCAACTTTATCAAGGAGTCAATCTTTTATCACTATGAAGTATTCGTTATGTATGGAGTGATGTGTAGAATTTATCAAACCAACAACTAAAATAATGATAAAAATAAATTTATTTATCTACATGTGTGTGAGTTAGAGAGAGAGGGAAAGAAAAAAGCTAGACAGAGAGGCAAAAAACAGACTTTTATACTATTATATATGATAAATGAGGAACTAAGCTATCAAGCTAGAGAGGCTCCATCAGTCTGCGGTAAAACATATGAAAAATTATGCCAAACACAACTTCTGCCTCAATCAAGACTATGCCTTACTCAGGATCAGGTCGTGTGACACTTAGAGAGATGATCTTACGTCAGAGTCTCCAGTTCACAGAGAGGATTCTCCAGTCCAGTAGAGAGCAGCTTCACTCCTGAATCTCCTAGTTTATTCCCAGTTAGATCCAGCTCTCTCAGGTGTGAGGGGTTTGATTTCAGAGCTGAAGCGAGAGCAGAACAGCCATAATCTGTGATTTTACAATCCCACAATCTGCAGAGCAAACAGTGATCATTAAAGAGTCACTATAGTCACTTTACTTCACTATGCATCTTTTTACAGGCTATTAGTTCATATAATTTAAGCAGACTTTTTCTGTTTCTATATTTCACTGTAAATTCTGCATTTTAAAGGATGCATTGCATACTGGGTAGTTTGCTTGTCACCCCACTGTTTACAGCTGCAGCAGAAAGTCTGGCAGCCAAGCAAGATTAGAGGAGAAACTGCTGCTTCATCATGGAAGAGAGGACCGCTTTAATGACATTGTAACTACATGATAATGTTTAACTTAGACATGCGGCTACACTACTTATACTTCATAATCCACCATGAACTACTTAAAAACCACAAGCTGTAGCTTTTGGAATGGCCTTCAGTCCCCTGACCTGGACATCATTTAAAATCTGTGGGTAGGTCTTGAACATCTAGAATATTTTAAGATGGGTGAAAGTGGATGAAAATCAACAAGACTAGAAAGACTCTTTGCTGGCTACAAAAAGTATTTGATATCTGCCATTGGGGGGGGGGTGCATAAACATTTGCAGAAAAAAATGCTGTAAAGTTGCTTTTCACTAAAACTATGTAAAATTTGGCCAGGGGAACCCAAACTACTGCATACAACTGTACATATACAAATGTTTATTTCATGCAGAAATATTATGTCAGTAATATTTGTATTACTGTCACACAAACACATAATATATAAAACAAGAAAAGTATTATTAAAATAAAAACCAAAAAGCAATATTTGCATATTGGGACCTACATCCTATAGACAAACTCTATATGATAATAATAAAAGTTATAACAATTTAAAAATATGCTAATTAATTTGGGTTCCCCTGATGCATGTGCACAAATTTGATCAGATTGGTTCAGTTGGTTCAAAGCTTCATACAACCTTGCTTCTCAAAAATAAACTTGAAGATACAATAAGCAATTGCCTAAACATAAAAAACAAAACATTAAAAGGCCAACTCATAAACAAAACCCAAAAAAACTAAAGGATATGGCAAGAGCAGGGCAAAGACGCAAGCACATGGGTACAATCAAAACTTTGCACATACCCATGTGTCCAGTAAATCAAATAAACAAATAAGCAAAATCACTTGCAGGTGTAACGTTTGAGGCATGGAGGCGGGATGCAAATGCGAGTTTATTGAAATGAGAGTCCATAACGAAAACAAAACAAAACCAAACTACAAGCGCAACAAGCAAACAAGAGACAAGATTACATTCACAATGCAAGACGAAGACTGAACAAACACAGGGGTATAAATACACAGAGGGGAAATGAGACACACCTGGGACTAATGAGGGGCGGAGCTACAAGCAGGTGGAACAGATAACAAGGGGGCAGGACCAGGGAGGAGACACAGAGCAACAACAATAGCACATGGTACAAGAAAACAAAAGACACATGGCTACAACAGAGGGGAAGAAACAGACACTCAGAGGGAGAAAAGAAGGAATCCGTGACAGAACCCCCCTCCTAACGTGCAGCTCCCGAGGCGCGAAAAACGAAAGCTATCCAAAGTGGGAGCCGGGTAGGAGGAGGGACCGGGAGAACATATGAACATAAACAAGAAACTATACAGGGGACAGGACACCAGACCGGGGTAATACACTAAACCGTGCAAGGAGCTGGACAAGGGACAATGACGAAACAGACAGGAAACCAGACAGAGGAGTACACAGGAAATTGGATAGGGGAATGGACAGGAAACTCCTGAAATGACAAGACACGAGAATGGACAGTAGACTGAACATGGGACTGGACCGGTGATGAGATAAAGGACGAGACAGATGAGACATGAGCGGAAAGAGACGGAACAAAGGGCTGGACAAGAGATGGAACACGCAACTGGATAGGACCAGACAGTGATGAGACTGGAAACCAAAGTGGAGTGAGAACAGGAGACGGAGTTAACATAGACATGGGAACAGGAACAGACATGGTTGCTGGAACAGGGACAGAAATATGGACAGGAATGGGTACAATAAGACCAAACACAGAAACAGGAACACTGATTGAGACGGGTACAGATATATACATGGTTATAGGGACAAAAACAAAACTATGGACTAGAGACTTGGGGGAAAACACAGAATGAAGTTCATGCAGGCGAAGGAACTGGGTGGCAGACTGAGCAGGGAACTGGAAAGTCGGCACTGAAGCAGGACACTGGAAGGCCGTCACTGGACGCTGAAAGATTGGCATAGGAGGGGGTCGCTGGGAGGTTGGCGGCGGAGCATAATGCTGAGAGGCCAGCACCGAACCAGGACAGGAAAGGAGAAAAGGAGTGGCCCAGGGAGCAGGAACTGGGACTGGTGACGCTGAGGCAATGGGCAGGTCTGGGGATGTAGAGGCTACCAGCAGGTCAGGGAACTCGGAAGCAACGTCCTCAGCAGCAGACTGGGCCGTAGCGACGTCCACGGAGGCAGGCGGGCCTGCTGCGACGTCCTCGGAGGCAGGCTGGACCGCAGCGACGTCCTCGGAGGCAGGCGGGCCTGCTGCGACGATCTCGGCGGCAGGCTGGGCCGCAGCGACGTCCTCGGAGGCAGGCGGGCCTGCTGCGACGTCCTCCGAGGCAGGCTGGGACGCTGCGACGTCCACGGAGGCAGGCTGGGACGCTGCGACGTCCACGGAGGCAGGCTGGGATGCTGCGACGTCCACGGAGGCAGGCTGGGATGCTGCGACGTCCACGGAGGCAGGCTGGGACGCAGCGACGTCCTCGGAGGCAGGCTGGGACGCAGCGACGTCCTCGGAGGCAGGCGGCCCTGCTGCGACGTCCTCGGAGGCAGGCGGCCCTGCTGCGACGTCCTCGGAGGCAGGCGGCCCTGGCTGAGGCTGGCGGGCCTGCTGTGACGTCCATGGCTGAGGCTGGCGGGCCTGCTGTGACGTCCATGGCTGAGGCTGGCGGGCCTGCTGTGACGTCCATGGCTGAGGCTTTCTCCTTACTAGGGAGCAACAGCTGAAGCTGACAGAGCAGATGGTAGCTCTCCTGAAGTCTGACCTCATTCTCCTTGATAAGGTCCTGCAAACTCACTGCTTCCCTGTGTGGTCTTGCATTCTGTAACGTTTGAGGCATGGAGGCGGGATGCAAATGCGAGCTTTTATTGAAATGAGAGTCCATAACGAAAACCAAACTACAAGCGCAACAAGCAAACAAGAGACAAGATTACATTCACAATGCAAGACGAAGACTGAACAAACACAGGGGTATAAATACACAGAGGGGAAATGAGACACACCTGGGACTAATGAGGGGCGGAGCTACAAGCAGGTGGAACAGATAACAAGGGGGTAGGACAAGGGAGGAGACACAGAGCAACAACAAAAGCACATGGTACAAGAAAACAAAAGACACATGGCTACAACAGAGGGGAAGAAACAGACACTCAGAGGGAGAAAAGAAGGAATCCGTGACAGCAGGTGTGAACAGTGATTAGGAAGGTTCTATATAGAACCATGTACAACACATTCTTCATCAATCTGAAGAACCTATTCACCATGCAAAAGTTTGTGTGTGTGTGAAGAATGGCATTACTTTAGTATCTTCAGTTTACAGAGAGGATTCTTCAGTCCAACAGAGAGCAGCTTCACTCCTGAGTCTCCTAGTTCATTCCAAGACAGATCCAGCTCTCTCAGTCTGGAGGATTCTGAGCTGATCACTGAGGCCAGATGTTCACAATTTTTCTCTGTCAGAATAGAATGATTAAATCTAAGGAAAGAAACATATTTTTAAGTAAGGAACAATGGCAACAAGATCTGTCTAAAGCTATCTTTCTAAAAGCAATTATCATGCCTCCCTCTGGCCTGGTTGGAACTTTGCCAACGGGGCTTCCCAGGACTCCAATTACCAGAACTCCTTGCTGCATCACATAACTACAGACTCTCACATGACTACAGACTCTCATATGACTACAGACTTTCACAGATCCACCTATCAGCGCTCCTTATCTCCAGACCTCTGATTACACTCGCACCTGTTCCTTCATCATTTAGTTTAGTATTTAAGCCCGGGTTTTAGGTTAGGTTCCGAAGTATCGTCACCCATGTGTGTACTGAGCGTTTCTCTTGTGTATCTGATTGCTTATCCATGTATGACCTGTTTTCTGTTTACGATTTTGATTTTGGCTGTACCCTTTGTTCTGTTTTGGGGCTCTGGTTTTTGACTTTCTGCTCTGGATTTATGACTGTGATTTTGGACAACCCCTTTGTTTTTAAAGATCTTAATTCAAGCCTCTGCTGCGAGTGTCTGGTTCCATCTGCCACTGTTACAGCAATCACCCTAATTTGTTCAAATGTTATATAAATGCACAAATACACTGTCCAGCAAAGCTGTTAAAATATGTCACAGTATTTTGCATAATCAGTGCTTAACCCTCTGAGTTCTAAGGGCATTTTCTCAATTTTTGCATATTGTGTTGAATTCTCCTTAAGCTACTTGCATGACTCCTACCGCAGCAGCAAATTCAGTGGCTGTAAACTGTTTGCACACCATTTCACATGTGTTTCCAATGTCAACTAAATGAGGAATGAAAGGTTTCCAATGTGATAAGTAAGTCCTTAGTGATTGCCTGAATGAGCGTTGGTCTGTTTTACACAAAATGTAGACACATGGATTCACCAATTACACAACCCCTCTTCATAGCCTCATAACTCCAGACATGAGCTACATATGATATTGTGGTGAGATTGAATCGAAAGGGCAACTCTATAGATTGAGCAAATATTTGAACCATATTTCTGTGCTGTATTATCACAAAAATAAAGCAACATAAATGGAAACATTTGACGCATGGGGAGAGTTTGTGGACCCCAGAGGGCTAATCTGTGCCAGAACAAGCCAGATCCAGCCAGCCAGTTCACATATTAAATACATTCATGCAACCATCTGTAAAGATATGTAAAAAAAAATATGATTTTATGATAATACAAAAAACTCAATATAACAAAATGTAGAAAAGACAATAAAAACACCAACACTGCCACTAGCAAATACACCCACTATAGCTGTACATTGAGTGAAACCACTGGCTTGTGAAATTAATTCATTATGGAAATGTTAATTAATTTTATTAAATATTTAGTTTTGGAAAACCCATTTATAAAATAAGGTTTAGTAGTTAATAAGTGTTGACTTCTTGTTAACATCGACTGTTGTCTTTACATATTTTAGCATATGGTAAACCTCACAATGATCATCACAGTCTTTATGATCAATTTTTGGTTCCAGCATCTTTGAGACATCACTACTTGATGTTCCAAGACCTCATTGTTTACTGACAAATTTGTTAAACTTTACTCTGTGTCACTTTTAAAGTAGTGCTTTCAGCTTCTCCATGTTTTGTATGTGTCAGTGTCACGGTTGTTTTCAGTGTAGTTGTAAACTTACAGAGCTCTTCTGGATGCTTCAACCACAGGCAGCAGTTTTATAAGAACCTCATCTGATCTGCTGTATGTTTTAGTGTATTTGCTCAAATCAAATACATCCATCTCCTCTGATGATGTCAATAATACAAAGACCACAGCTGACCACTGTGAAGATGAGAGATTAACTGTTAGTAGATCTCCAGATTGCAGGTACTGTTGAACTTCTTCAACTAGAGAATGGTCACCCAGTTCATTCAGACAGTGGAACAGATTGAGAAATTTCTCTGCAGAGAGGTTCTCTCTGATCTTCTTCTTGATGTATTGAACTGTTTCCTCTCTGTTGTGGGAGCTGCTTCCTGTCTGTGTCACTAAGCCTTGTAAGAGGGTCTGATTGGTCTCCAGTGAGAGACCCAGAAGAAAGCGAAGGAAAAGATCCAGATGTCCATTCTTACTCTGTAAGGCCTGATCCACAGCACTCCTGTGTACATCTGAGATTACAGATTTTTTTTTCTTGAAACTGTTCATTTTAAAGAACGAACTCTGTTTAAACACATTTCTCTTCTGGTTAATGCAGGTCAGGTGCACATATAGAGCTGCAAGATGTTCCTGAATGCTCAGATGAACAAAGCAGTACACTTTACTCTGGAGCAGCCCAGATTCCTCTCTGAAGATCTGTGTACACACACTCGAGTACACTGATGCTTCTTCAACATCGATGCCACACCCTCTCAGATCTTCTTCATAGAAGATCAGGTTTCCTTTCATCAGCTGCTGAAAAGCCAGTTGTGCCAGTTTGAGAAGCATGTCTTCATCTGTCTTCTGGTTCTTTGTGTATTTTTCTCTTTTGATTTTTGTCTGAATGATGAGGAAGTGTGTGTACATTTGAGTCAGAGTTTTGGGGGTCTCTCCACTCTTTGCTTTACCCAGCATTCTCTCTAGAACAGTGGATGAAATCCAGCAGAACACAGGTATGTGACACATGATGTAGAGGCTTCTTGATGCCTTCAAGTGTGAGATAATTCTATTGGCCAGACTCTGATCACTGATTCTCTTCCTGAAGTACTCCTCCTTCTGTGGGTCAGTAAACCCTCTTACTTCGGTCACTCGATCCACACACTCAGAGGGGATTTGATCAGCTGCTGCAGGTCGGGAGGTTATCCAGATGAGAGCAGAGGGAAGCAGATTCCCCTTGATCAGGTTTGTCAGCAGCACATCCACTGATGCTGATTCAGTTACATCACACAAACTCACACTGCTCTGAAAATCTAGAGGTAAACGACACTCATCCAAACCATCAAAAATGAACAGAGCTCTGTGTGACATTGATATTTCCAACTCTTTTGTTTCCTTAACATATTTATGAAGAAGGTCCAGTAGACTGAGTTCTTTGTCCTTTATCAAATTCAGTTCTCTGAAAGGAAGTGGAAATATGAACTGGACATCCTGATTTGCTTTATATTCAGCCCAGTCCAGAATAAACTTTTGAACAGAGACCGTTTTTCCAATGCCAGCGACTCCCTTTGTCAGCACAGTTCTGATGTGTTTGTCTTGTTCAGAAAAGGGCTTAAAGATCTCATTGCATTTGATTGGTGTTTCCTCTGTTGCTGTTCTCCTGGATGCTGCCTCGATTTGTCTGACCTCATGTTCATTACTGACCTCACTACTGTCTCCCTCTGTGATGTAGAGCTCTGTGTAGATCTCACTGAGAAGTGTTGGGTTTTCCTGGTTTGTTATCACCTCGTTCAAACATTGAAATTTCTTTTTCAGATTTAATTTGAAGCACTCTTGAAATTCAGTTCCAACAGATACAGGGTCAGACCTAAAAAATAGTGAAATAATAAAGACATTTTTAGCATTTTTAACTTAATTTCCAAGATCAAATGGACTGTTTGCTTACATATTTTTTTGCAAAATCCAAGACCTTTGTGAATGCTCCTTTCATACCCAATCAAGATAGCATCAAGTGTTACCTATTCGTCTGTTTACCTGTGGAAGTTCCAAAATTGGTAGTTTTGATAATTCAACAGTCCCAGTTTTATATTGGCTCTTGTTACAATTTTTTTCAAATGTGTTGCAGGCATCAAACTTGGATTTTGCATATATAAGGTAAAATATGAAATATCTTCTTTTTGTGCAGTTTTCAACTGAATACTTATGAAAGACAGTTTGCAAATCACTGTTTTCTGTTTTTATTTGCATTTTATCTACTGTACCAACTTTTTGGAATTGGGTTTATATTTAGTAAAAGTTTTCCAGTGTTTCTCTTGCAGAAAAATGTTTTGATGATCTGAATTTTATTGAATGAAATTAAAGCTATGTAAGACTCTTTGTTAAAATTGAACATTGGCATTACTGTTTCAGATGAAGAAAAAATGATAGTGTCCGTAGGCCTCCCTGTAAAGACTGCTAGAATAATTTAAAAGTCAGAGGTACTGATTCAGATTTTGAAGGAGTTTTTCAGACCACATGATACACCTTTATGTATTAAGGTCACACACACAGGCTCAGAAAGAAGGTCTGACTAGATGTTTAGCTCTCAAATGCAAAGATTTAACATTATTCTGATGAATATATGTTGACAACAGTAGATAATTCACAGGCTGGAAACCTGAGAACACACAGGTACATACAATAAGCAGCAGAAGAGTGCAGCTCATTTGGTAGAATTTCTTGATCTGACCACTCTAAACATGATGGAGTTCAAACTTGCATGTAATATCACAAAAAGAGATCTCGACACTGTATGTATAATAAATATATGCATTAACCCATAAATATGCTAAATAACTAATGTATATAGTGATAATCCAATAATTATAATAATAAACCAACATACTTGAACAAATATATGCTAGATAACCAATGTAATAACTGTTTAATGTAATGTAATAATAGAGGATGACCAACACCAACTTTTAGCAACATATGAGCTGTTGTCAGTATCTTTACATCTACAAAGTGGACCAACAAGGTAGATGTATCTATTAGAGTGAACAGTGACACAGTATTTAAAAACTCCTGCAAAACCACTGTAACTGATCCACTCATACCAGGAAAACGGACATTGACAGGCCACCACCACGTCACTGCAGTGCTGAGAACGATCCACCTCCCAATTAATACCTGTTCTGTGGTAGTCCTGTGGAGGTCCTGACCATTGCAAAATGGGGTGAATGTGAGGTAAAAAATTATGCTAAGAACTGCAAAGTGCACGTATATGGTAAGTGGAATTGACAAAGTAGTGGGCTGGGCAGTTCCTTGAAGTGCCTGTTTAATAAAAGACCATTTGCCTATATGCACTGTTTTTCACATCTACTTCTATGCTGGTGCCACAGTGGTGTCAGAAGTGGGACAGTGCCACCAAGCAGCGAGAAGTTGAGTGGCACATGAAGTGGATGGCAAAGAAGACCGACGTTTGCAGGAGAGGGTACCAAGCAGTTCAGCCATCCAAGAGCAAGACAGCTGGCTGAGTTAAGATGGTGAAGGAAACAGCCTAGAGCCCAGCTGGAGCTCAGCAAAAGGGAGACGGCACACATCCACTTACCATGCTTCAACAGTGAAGGCATCTGGGTGATGTACTCCATGCAACTGCAAGTGATTGTCTAGTGCTGGAGGGAAAAGCGCTGCAGGTGCTTGTGGATCTCCCACCAGAACAATATGATGACCTAGCGGCATTGACCACAGCCCTCCAGTGATGCTTTAGGCAGGCGTGATTTCATGGTTGGCCAGAGAGCTGCTCCTGGAGACAAGGATGCTAAAGGGAGAGCATGCTGGCGGCAGAGCTGAGCATGATGGTTCAGCAGGCATATCCAGCACTCGAGAATGCTGCACAGGAAGAGTTAATGCTGGAACACTTCCGGAATGTGTTGCTGCTGGAGGAGCTGAGACAGCATGTGCAGCTTGCTGCACCAGCCAGCCTTTAAGCTGCCACAGAGAGCAGAGAGGGCAGAACTTATCCTCAGCATGCAAACACCTCAGCGAGCAACACATCGCTAAGCGGTGGAGCTTGAGGAGGAGACGGCGTGCTGAGCGACCTCCAAGCGAGTGGTGCCGGAAAGATTGTTATGCTGGTGATGTAGGAAGATGGGACACTGTGCCAGACAATGTCACAAACCTGAGCTGGTGGGGAAACAGAAGCCAGCTGGGAAGATGAACACCAGCATCAGAGCCAGTTGGCAATGCTGGAGGGGCTGAACACGCATCGCCAGCCCTAGTGGATGGGTCCCCAAGGGCCAACAACACAATGGACAATGGAGAGAATGGAAGACATCTGAGAGGAGAGCTGTTGCTGCTGTCATCAACCCTAGTAGTGGTGGACTTAACTGATCTGTGACTAGCCACCTGTGTGCCTTACCTGTGTGCAGATGAGGAGTTTGAAGACTAAGTCAACTAAGTGTATGACTTTTGGAAATCCCCCCCCACACACATTTCACCCATACTCTGGGAGAGACACCTGGGTCAAAGAACAGATTTCACCAGATAACCAGTCCAACTTAATGAAACCTCACATAACCCCCTTTGGGGCAAACAGAAGTCATATATTCTTTTTAGAAATTTTAGTGTTGATTAATACTATGTATGGAATTATGTTTTTTTTTTTGGAAAACTCATTTTCTTTCCTTCAAGTAACCATAGTGTGAAAGTAGAACAGTTATAGATATAATTATCTGTTCTAGGAAATTGCATATTTATTAAAAATTGAATGCAAAAACACTTTTCCCTGTCTTAGAGAGAGAATCACCATTTAATGCCGAAGAAATGACAAGAAGCCTTCTCCCAAAATAGTTCTTTAAATCTGCATATTTTAGATCTTAGTTTTATTTTTGTTTTGGGTCTCTGTTCATCATTTCTTTGTTCAGTTTGTTTTCTTTGTATTCACTCAATAATATTGAAGAAGTGTTGGTTACTGTTAGGCTTACTACATCTTTCTTAAGTTTTGTCAGTTTATCTCAAAAGTTTGATTGGCATCGATGCATCAATGCGAAATCTATGAACATAGTTTAAGAATTAGAGACATAAGTGAACCAGCACTGAGTGCAAGCCATCCCAGGAGTTCAGTGGCCCCAGCAAAAGGCTGCGGCCTGACTTCACCAGCCAACCACTGCAAGCACTTCCTCACTGGAGGCCAACACAAGCCAGTTGGAAGCCCACCTCACCATCCAGGTCCAGTCAGATGTAACATTCCTGAAGTTCACCTCTTCAGTGTCATCGCATTTGACCCACAGACCTCTCTCCAGCCAATGCTTGCAGGCTGCGGCTCCTCCTCAACGGCATGTGCGTCATCATGGCTCTCTTTTTGAAGCATCAAGGCTGTGATTCAGTCTTGCTGTTTTACCCTGTGCACCCTTTTATCCAGCACCCTTTTATCCAGTTATCCAGTTTTATGCTAGCATTAATATTCTGTTCTGTGTACTGTGCAAATGCCATAAAATGACCTTTTCAAGTCTGATTACCGTATGTTTACCCGGTGAATTTCATATCTCTGGTTTCAATGCATACCTGTTAATCTAACATTTAGTGTCTATATACCTTGATCAATAAATCATCATGTGTTAAAGTTATCACTTGTGGTTCTATGTATGTAATTATCACAATTTGATCTATAGATCACTATCCACAGGCAACCTTTTAACCTGAGATTAACCTAAGCAGCTGTGTTTCATGGTAAGTGGCCTTGTCATTGTGCATGATATACGCCATCATTCGTGCATATAAGCACTACCCATTAAAAACACCATCTCATGTCCCTGCCAATAAGTAAAAAACCTAGGTATAAGACAATGAATGTACCCCAACAAAACATTGCAAATACCGGTTGGACCATAGTGGAAATTAGCATTGTTATAATAGTGGTATTTTAATAAACAAACACAGGTTTCCATATTAAGCTCTGCTGTATAATGATATACACAACAAGTTCATGATTGAAAAATTCATGAAACAATTGGAATATTCCATTAGTGTTAATAGCCTGAGTACTCTCACAGCTCTATGTAAAGTTCAAAGTGCTATCCTCTCATACTTATTGTGCAAGCTAGAATACCAGATCTACCAACTGGCCTAAAAACAAATCTACTGGAAACCAAAGACATAATGTCCTTCAAGACAGATGAAAAATCAGATTCCAGACATCAATAAAGACTGCTTGCGATTATACCAAGGGCCATCATGGAATGTATGACCCCCAATTATTGTGATAAAAACACAAAATGTGTGTTTTCTTCTCTCTTTGTTTTACAAAACTGTACATGTATAAGTGATAATATAGCAATGTAAAAAAATCATTGTAATATGAAATGTTTCAATTGGCATATGCCTACACTCGAGTTTTACATTGACAAAGTTTAAGTTGTAGTGACAGTGTGTTCTGTGCTCTACAGTCGCAGTGATTTATTGTTGAGTAGCTGTGTGTGCAGATGAAGAGTCTCTGTCTTTCATGAGTAATATTATGCCTGACATATCAGCAAACTGGGACTAAAGTTTTATAATGATGCAGTGACAGTATTGAGAGATTATTATGTGCACTACAATCACAGTGTTTTACCTGTGAAAAATAATTACCTGTGTGCAGATGAGGAGGCTCCATCTTTAAAATGTACTAGAGGATCCACAGACACATCACTCTTCATGGACGCACAGCTGGGTTCTGGAGAGTCTGATCTCTTTGCCTGAATTTGACTTTCCAAAAACACAGACATGTAATGTAAACAACATCATTCAGAGGGGTTTTGTGTGAAATTCACCCTTCTAGAGTTACCACATCAGAATTGTTCACAGCAGTGACGATAGGAACCAGACATCTAAAGAGTTTAATGCCTCTTGAAGCTTCCCCAGAGAAAATTATTATATGAAATGATTACAAATATTCTGCCTCACATTGTTTTACAACAGTACTGAGATAAGCTTTCGGGGCTAAGAAGTGTTTTTTTTACATACATTCATAGCAGAGAGGCTCATACAGGGCATAGTGAAGCAAAATAGTTCCAAGAATTAACTGCTTTATTACCATTATTACCATCACATATAAAATTCTAAAGACATGTTTGGATAGAAGAGATATCTCAAAGGCTAAACTCTATTGCAAACAGCGGATTGAAGAGCACTTCAACTCCTCTGACCCCCGGCGTATGTGGCAAAGCATATAGTCAATTACTGACTTCAAACCACAATGCACTCTGCCCCCTACCAACTGTGCCTCACTCCCTGATGAACTCAACCACTTCTTTGCTTGCTTCGACAGGGGAATGAGGTGGTATTCTCCAAAACAGATCTACCACCAGATGAGCTGTTACACTCTAAGCAAGGGGAATGCACGAATGGCAGCTGGCCCTGATGGAATACCTGGCCGTGTGCTTAGAGCATGTGCTAAGCAGCTAGCTGGGGTCTTCATGGGCATTTTCTGTCTGTTGCTGGCCCAGGCAGTTGTCCCAACTAGCTTCAAGACCACCACCATTGTGCCAGTGCCACCCTGTCACACTCACCTCCATCATCTCCAAGTGCTTTGAAAGACTAGTTCTTTCTCATTTGAGGTCCTGCCTGCCTGTTACACTGAACCCACACCAGTTTGCCTACCACCGCAACAGGTCAACGGAGGACGCCATTTCTACAGCACTTCACACTGTACTGACCCACCTGGACTTTCAAAACTCATATATCAGAATGCTATTTATTGACTTCAGTTCAGCATTTAACACAGTGATCCCCCCCCCAAACTGATCTTAAAGCTTAGTCAGCTTGGTATCAGCACATCTCTGCACAATTGAATTCTGAACTTCCTGACCGACAGACCTCAGTCTGTTAAGCTGGACAAACTCTTCTCCTCCCCCATCACCCTGAACACCAGCGTGCCACCAGGCTTTGTGCTCAGCCCTCTTCTGTACTCCCTGTTCACCCAAGACTGTGCTCCTGTTTATGGCTCTAATTCCATAATCAAGTTTGCGGATGATACCACGGTGACAGGTCTGATCAGAGGTGATGATGAGATGGCCTACAGGGATGAGGTGCAGCGCCTGGTGGCATGGTGTGAGGACAACAACCTGCTGCTCAACACCCAGAAAACAAGGAGATCATAGTGGACTTTAGGAAGGGTAGGAGCCAAGTATACTCCCCCATCTACATCAGCAGAGCTAAGGTAGAGCGTGTGTCTGACTTCAAGTTCCTTGGTATCCACATCTTGGAATATCTCACCATGTCCCTAAACTCCTCCATCATGGTCAAAAAGGCGCAACAGCGTCTTTACTTCCTACGTAGCCTCAAGAATGCTCACTTGTGTCCTGGGATGCTGGTGAACTTTTATTGCTGCAATATTGAGAGCTTCCTCACAAACTGCATCTCGGGGTGGTATGGCAACTGCTCCGCATCTGACCACAAAGCACTCCAGTGGGTGGTGAAAACTGCCCAGAGCATCACAGATGCCCAGTTACCCTCCATTAAGAACATTTACCATAAGTGCTGCCTGGGCAGTGCGAGAAACATCCTCAAAGACGTTTCTCATCCTAACCATGGACTTTTTACCCTCCTCCCGTCTGGCAGGCTTCCTGCACCAGCAGGCTCAGGAAGAGCTTCTTCCCTGAGGCTGTGACCCTGCTGAACTCCACACTGCCACTTTAACCGCATCTTTGCACTCACTGCACTGTTATTGTACTTTATGTTTTCCTAGTATTACTGCACTATTCATATTTGCACCAACAATCACTGTACATGTTTTCTCTGTATACTTATCTTTACATATACTGCTCTCACTGTACATACACCTACATACGTACGCTCTCCACTCACTCTGTATATATGAATATTTAATTTATACTTGCACTTTATATGTAAATAATACTGTATTTTGCACTTCTGGATAGATGCTAACTGCATTTCATTGGCTCTTTACCTGTACTCTGCACAATGACAATAAAGTTGAATCTAATCTAATGTAATCTAATGTAATCTAATTTAATCTAATCTAATCTAAATAAAATGTCTATATTCTGTTGTTGACATCACAACTCCTGATTCCTGTTGCCTAAAGAAATCTGTGTCACTAAGTTTCTCAACTATGTACCATTTAACATCAAACCACTCTTAATGACTTTATGTACATGTTAATGATTGAATTATGCAGGAATGTTGAAAAACAGATGGAGTTTTCATTTAAGGCATACATGATAATGATATTTTTAATAAAATTACATATTGCTAGTATCATTTTTGCCCACTTGGACCTGAACTATAGCTCTGTTGTTATAAGGAAATGACAAAACTATTCTACAGTGTGTGCCTTAACTGGCAATGTGCATTTCTGAAAGTAGTAATTAGAACATATACATTAATGCACATTGACAAACAGCTGATGAGACTAAAATCCACTGACAGATAGGGCTACAACTACTGCAGTAGTTTAACTTTTGGCTTAAAAATTCAGTGGCTGATCTGTGAGCAGCCGTTACCTGTGTGCAGATGAGGGGTCTCCATCTTTAAATGTTATTGAGCGATCCATAGATTGGTCACTCTTCATGGACACACAGCTGGATTCTGGTGAGTCTGATCTCTTCATCTGAGTTTGTCTTTACAGGAATGAGACATTTCTTCAATGATTTATACAAAGTCATATTGACAGGCACCAACACCAGCCCAACCACAATCATAACATTTATACATTTAGGAGTTAACGGACAAAGTACGATTTCGCTTGAATAAAATTCAAATGAAGTTTTACATGATACAATAAGTGGCTGTGAATTTCTTCCTTGATTGTGATTGTTTAAGACATAAGGAATCAGACTGAAATTAAACTTGCAGTATGCTGCGAGACACCTCATGTCTATTAGGGTACATGTGTGGAAAATCAAAACGTAGCTCAGTTGAATTTTGGTGATACAAAAAAGTCTTTGCTTGGTGTAGCAAGTACTCTGCACTATTTGAAAGTATGCTCGAAGATGATATATTCACTAACAACACGAGATCTTATCAAAAAACATAAGTGAATATCATAACTAAACTGTGTTGTTGACTGTTTCAGTGGAACGGCATGTATTATTTGTTGTTAATGGTGATCATAAGACAGCAGGCCTCGGTTCTCGCCATGCAACAAGAGTGTACCAGTCGCCCGACCCTTGACCACCAACGACGTCTGCGAGAGAGGGCGGGAGGAGTATGGCGTCAAATCCGCTTCAAAATTCACTGCCTGTAATTACTTCATTCTCTCTTAGCGAAAGTTCAGTAATTATGATTACTCTCAGCCAGTCTGAAATCAATTTATTACATTATTCTAATGTATTACATTATTCTAATCTTATATTACCTTATTCTTATAATTGATACAATGATTATGAGTATTAAATCATTTTTTAAAGGGGCATGTATTTTGCACTTCTGGATAGATGCTAACTGCATTTCATTGGCTCTTTACCTGTACTCTGCACAATGACACTAAAGTTGAATCTAATCTAATGTAATCTAATTTAATCTAATCTAATCTAAATAAAATGTCTATATTCTGTTGTTGACATCACAACTCCTGATTCCTGTTGCCTAAAGAAATCTGAGTCACTACGTTTCTCAACAATGTACCATTTAATATCAAACCACTCTTAATGACTTTATGTACATGTTAATGATTGAATTATGCAGGAATGTTGAAAACCAGATGGAGTTTTCATTTAAGGCATAAATGATAATGATATTTTTAATAAAATGACATATTGCTAGTATCATTTTTGCCCACTTGGACCTGAACTATAGCTCCGTTGTTATAAGGAAATGACAAAACTATTCTACAGTGTGTGCCTTAACTGGCAATGTGCATTTCTGAAAGTAGTATTTAGAACATATACATTAATGCACATTGACAAACAGCTGATGAGACTAAAATCCACTGACAGATAGGGCTACAACTACTGCAGTAGTTTAACTTTTGGCTTAAAAATTCAGTGGCTGATCTGTGAGTAGCCGTTACCTGTGTGCAGATGAGGGGTCTCCATCTTTAAATGTTATTGAGCGATCCATAGATTGGTCACTCTTCATGGACACACAGCTGGATTCTGGTGAGTCTGATCTCTTCATCTGAGTTTGTCTTTACAGGAATGAGACATTTCTTCAATGATTTATACAAAGTCATATTGACAGGCACCAACACCAGCCCAACCACAATCATAACATTTATACATTTAGGAGTTAACGGACAAAGTACGATTTCGCTTGAATAAAATTCAAATGAAGTTTTACATGATACAATAAGTGGCTGTGAATTTCTTCCTTGATTGTGATTGTTTAAGGCATAAGGAATCAGACTGAAATTAAACTTGCACTATGCTGCGAGACACCTCATGTCTATTAGGGTACATGTGTGGAAAATCAAAACGTAGCTCAGTTGAATTTTGGTGATACAAAAAAGTCTTTGCTTGGTGTAGCAAGTACTCTGCACTATTTGAAAGTATGCTCGAAGATGATATATTCACTAACAACACGAGATCTTATCAAAAAACATAAGTGAATATCATAACTAAACTGTGTTATTGACTGTTTCAGTGGAACGGCATGTATTATTTGTTGTTAATGGTAATCATAAGACAGCAGGCCTCGGTTCTCGCCATGCAACGAGAGTGTACCAGTCGCCCGACCCTTGACCACCAACAACGTCTGCGAGAGAGGGCGGGAGTAGTATAGCGTCAAATCTGCTTCAAAATTCACTGCCTGTAATTACTTCATTCTCTCTTAGCGAAAGTTCAGTAATTATGATTACTCTCAGCCAGTCTGAAATCAATTTATTACATTATTCTAATGTATTACATTATTCTAATGTATTACATTATTCTAATCTTATATTACCTTATTCTTATAATTGATACAATGATTATGAGTATTAAATCATTTTTTAAAGGGGCATGTAAAAATGTAAACTTGTTCAACCTATGAAATAAAAGTTTCTAAGTAATATTTTAGTGCAAGTGGTGTATGACGTTTTTTCAATGTTGTTCTACAATTATTACATACATTATATTACATATAAAACTGACTCATGAATACCAACTACTGGCAAAAAGTGCTACACAGAGCATCTGCTCTGGTTAGATGCTGATTACAGTCTGTCTCTGTGGTACTGGTATATTAAACATAGAGTAATATTATGCCTGATATATCAGCAAATTGAGACTAAAGCTTTACAATGATGCAGTGACAGTATTGAGAGATTATTATTATTATTATTATTATTATTATTATTATTATTATTATTATTATTATTATCACAGTGCTTTAACTGTGAAAAGTCATTACCTGTGTGCAGATGAGGAGGCTCCATCTTGTGCTAGAGGATGTACTAGAGGATCCATAGACACATCACGCTTCAGGGATGCACAGCTGGGTTCTGGAGAGTCTGATCTCTTCATCTGAATTTTCAAAAGCACAGACATTGCTCCACTAATTTATTTACAGTCTTTATATTTTAATCAACATACTCAGGAACAGGAGAGCAAAATATACGCATAAAAATATATATCAAATAGTCAGGTGATTTTTAGAGAAGAATTCCACTGATTTTTTTGAGAAGTACTTTTTTTTTTTAAATACATTGGTAGCACTTTACAATATGGTTCCTTAGTAACCTAGTAAATATGCACAGACAAATCATGAATGAATATAGCAATTATCTGAAATGAATAATCAATTATGCTTTATCAATATTGTATCTAAGAATAGGAAGGAAAACAAATACATTTAATGGAAAAGTGAAAGATTAACAAATACTGTAACAATCTAGAGCCATATGCTTCAGGAGTGGCCCATCACACAAACTAAATGATCACAAACTAAGTGTTCACTGGTTGAAGAAAGATGCAGTTTGTTTGCTGTTTTTGCACATATTTATGCAAAGAGCTGAGAGCTCCAGGAGACCAGAGCTGAAAAACCTCACAACAATCAAACAACTGGTCATAAGCTTTTTTTCCATGCTGATTCATTACGATGACCAACTGAGACTAAAATACACTGACAGAAAGAGCTAGTTCTCCTGCAGTGGTTTACCTTTTGGCTTAAAAACTCAGTGGCTGATTTGCAAGTAGCCGTTACCTGTTCACAGATGAGGGGTCTTCAAATTTTAGCGAATGATCCATTAACCAGTCACCCTTCACAGCCACACAGCTGGGTTCTGGTGAGTCTGATCTCTTCATCTGGATTCTTATTTAGACGTTTCTTCAGTTATTTATATAAAGGCATATTGACAGGCATAAACACCGCCTCATTACATTTATAACATTAACAGAGTTTAGAGATGATGGACAAAATTGAATTTCACTTTAGCAAAACTGAAATGTTCTACAACCCCATTTCCAAAAAAGTTGGGATGCTGTACAAACTGTAAATCAAAACAAAATGCAAGGATGTGCAAATAATTTAAACTCTATATTAAATTGAAAATAGTAGAAAGACAACAAATCAAATGTTGAAACTAAGAAATTGTATTTTTGGATTTGGATGCAAACAACACATTCCAAAAAAGTTGGGAAAGGGTCAACAAAAGGCTGGTACAGTTGTGTAATGCTAAAAAAAACACCTGGTGGTTAATTGGTAACAGGTCAGTAACATGATTGAGTATAAAAAGAGCATCTCAGAGAGGCTGAGTCTATCAGAAGTAAAGATGGGGAGGGGTTCACTACTCTGTGAAAGACTGCAGAGGGAAATAATGCAACAATTCAAGAATAATGTTTCTTAACATAAAATAGCAAAGAACTTTTGCTTTTCATCATCTATGGTACAAAACAACATTAGAAGACTCAGAGAATCTGGAGAAATTTCTGTATGCAAGGGACAAGGCCAAAAAATAGTATCTGCTGGCCGTGATCTTTGGGCCCTCGGGTGGCACTGCATTAAAAATAGACATGGTTCTGTAGTGGAAATCACTGCATGGGCTCAGAAACACTTCTGAATACCACTGCCTGTGAAAACAGTTCATTGCTGCATCCACAAATGCAAGTTAAAACTCTAAAATGCTAAGGAGAAACCATTTGTAAACAGAATCCTGAAATGCTGTCACCGCCTGAACTGAAAAATGGACTGAGGTGAAGTGGAAAAGTGTCCTGTGGTCCGATGAATCAAAATTTGAAATTCTTTTTGGAAACCATTGACACTGTGTCCTCCGGGCTAAAGACCGCTCAGCTTGTTATGAGTGCATAGTTAAAAGGCCAGTATTCATGATGGTATAGGGGTGCATTAGTGCACATGGCATGGCTGACTTGCACATCTGTGAAGGCACCATTAATGCTGAATGATATATACATTTTGGCAACATATGCTGCCATCCAGACGACGTCTTTTTCAGGGAAGGCCTTGCTTATTTCAGCAAGATAATGTCACACCACATTCTGCATGTATTACAGCAGCATTGCTCGGTATTAAAAGAGTCCAGGTGCTAAACTGACCTGCCTGCAGTCCAGATCTGCCACCCACTGAAAAGGTTTGGTGCATTATGAAATTAAAAATATGACAAATGTGATCCAGTACTGTTAAGCAGCTGAAATCCTTTATCAAACAAGAATGAGAATTTCACTTTCAAAACTACAGCAGTCGGTCTCCTCAGTTCCCAAACACTTACAGAGTGTTGTTAAAAGAAGAGATGATGAAACACAGTGGTAAACATGCCCCTGTCCCAACTTTTTTGGAATGTGTTGTTGACATCAAATTCAAAATTTCTCAGTTTCAACATTTGAATTGCTGTCTTTCTACAATTTTCAATGAAATATAGGGTTTAAATGATTTGCGCATCAATGCATTTGGTTTTTATTTACATTTCTAATTCAAAGTTTCATTAGACACAAATAAATCATAAGACTCTGCATTATTAGGATAATGTGGAGCAAAATTCAACTTTTCAAAATAAAAATGTCTATTATACAGTATTCATTGCAGCTACTGGTGTAATTTATCCACAAGAAGTTCACAGGGGAGAGGCCTTTGCCACTTTCTTATTGTGCTAAAAATAAATAAATAAATAAAATAAAATAAAAAATGTTTTTCAAATAAATCTACAGGGACATTTTTCCTTTGTCCCTGTAAACACCTCCAAAGTTAAGTTTAGAAGTTGGTTGTGTTTTCTGCTTTGCTTCTCTTGGTCCACAAACACATTTAATGATGTCTGTGGTGGTCAGTCCTAACAACACCAGCAGTTTCTTTATTTGACAAGAACCCACTAGGCCTGCCTTTGATGCATGTTTAATTAAAGTTGGAGGCACTAGGTTTTGGAATTGAATATAATGATAATCTGATTCTGATATAGCGATTCAAAATTGTTTTACACACCAGATGCATAGTTTGGACATGATATGAACAATATGTCCAGTTATCAGAGGACCAGCCTGGAAGGAATATTACCTTGAACACCCCCCCATTGTGGTAGGAGAAAAAATCAGCATTGACTGGACAGGGACCTGGACACACAGTTGCACCACCTCATTTTTCTGTTTCAGTTGTGAATTGATGATCTGCAGATTTCCAATCACCAACTTCTGAGTAGTATCTTCGGCTCTAACCTTTTGGCTGACCAATTTTGAACTACAATTACTACTTATCAAAGGGGAAGACAACACATGCAAACCTCTTGACTGCAAAGGTGCACTGGGTCTTCTCCCACTTTTCCTGGGGAGAACAGAGCACATACTGACAGTGTAGGTTGAGCGTAAGTCATTGAATGCACTTTTGAATGTAACTATAAAGCTTTTCTCTGCTTTCCTTTAGTGTTGGCATAATGCTATATCTCAAGATGCTGTAACACTTTAGAACTCAATTTGGTGTAAACTCATAAACAAGGTTGTTTTTTGCCATCTTTCATTAACTACTACTTCTGTTTTTTATTCAGACAATTTAATAATACTGCCTGAATTGATTATACCTATAGAGATTCATATATATTTCTCATAATTCCTTCATACAGAATCAGAAGTTTATTTTTACTTTATTTGACATTTAAAAGTTAAAGCACAGTCAAACACAGGGTGACAGCCTACTGCCTATTAGCTCTCTGAACATTAGCTTACATTAACAGGTGTCAACATTAACAACCTAAACATTATATTCACAGCTCTCAAACTGTATAAATTTAGTGACACCTGTATAGAGCATTTCTATTATCAAAATTATTACAAACAACAGCAGTTTATCCAGTTTTGATTTTCTTCACTTTTATTCCTCTGGTAATCACACTACTCAGAGGTTGTAAGTAACAAAGTACAAGTTGGAACAATTCCCTGTAAGCCAGTAGAGTTTCGGGTTGGTTACCGTGAGCTAATGAATAAACTCACAGCACAAGAACACTCAGACTGTAAATGTTACACCCAAATGTTTATCTGTAGCAATGTAGGCAGCTCCTATCTCAAGTGATACAACCCTGGGACTGTAAATAAAACTCCTACAGTGAATAGAGACTAGATCCACTTTAAATGATGTAGTTCTATAGTTCTAGTATAAACCGTTAGATACTTTCAGTTGGATGGATGTGTACCTCTAACTCTCGGTAGAAAGATATCCTGTTTAAGAAAATTGAATTAGAGATGATTTTAAAAAAATATATTTTCCTTTTTTTCTTTAAGCTCATTTATAAGCATGTACGTTTATGCTAGTTAGTCATACTTCAACATTTACTTGATTATTTTTTTTACTGGATTACTAGTACTAACTTAGATAAGGGAAATGTGTACTTCTGCCACCTCTGACACTGCTTCATACAAAATCAGAAATTAATTTTTATTTTATTTGACAATTAAACATTAAAGCATAGTCCAACATGCAGAAGATGGTCTAGAACAAGGAGCTCCAACAGTTGTGGAATCATCCCTGATATTTCCTTTGTGGTTGAATCAGCAGAAAAAACAATTGCCCTTTCTTAGTAGCACATACACACTCAAACATGCTAGAGTTTCGAATTATTCTTGTGTTCATTGGCCAAAATAGCATGATATGTTAGGGCAAATTTGTGCAGCTCAGCTTTCTTTTTTAAGTAACAGTGAGACCACACACTCAGATGACTTGTTTTGCATTTCTGGGCTCATAAAACTGACATTTTTTTGGAAAGGTTTGCAATCAGTTTTCCAGTTCTAGGTCATGCTTTGTATACAGCTTTTTGATCAGGCATACAGTAAATGGCAATTTTTTTTCCCATAGAAATGAAGGGGGTGCAAAGATTTGTGCACCCAATCTATGTCACATTGACCCAAGTCTATTAGTTATACCCTATTAACCATGTGGGGAACCTTGGCAACCATCTAGCAACGCCCTAGCAACCACCTGGGATACCATGGCAAAGACCTAACGACGACCCAGCAACCACCTGAGACACCATAGCAACCACTTTTCAACACCTTTGCAACCAGTTAAAATACTGTAACCTTTCAGCAACACCCCTGTGTTGTGCTATAATATTCAGATCACCATTTGGTCTGACTGTACAAAATATGTTAGTCACTGAATCTGGACTGTCACCTACATAAAAATGCATTTGCAGAGATACAATTAGTCAGTCTCACCTTACAGATAATACTTCATCATCAGATACTCTGTCACTTCATCATACAACTCTGCTCTTTCTCTCTTTATCTCTTTCTCTGAATGCCCTTGTGTTTGTATGTGTCTTTAACTGTGTGAAGGGCTTTTTAAGCTGTTTAACTACTAGCTAATAGGCAGTAGGCTGTCACTAAAAATAACATTATTAATTGAGTAATCTAACTGCTATTCTGACTTTTTATCAAGTAGTCTGTTTTTTTTCTTCTTTTTTAAGGGTAAACCAAAACAGTAATGAACTCAGCACAGCCTTTCAGGGATTCTAAACTACTTTATTGAAAACAGTTAAACTAGGAAGCCATATGTACTTATATAAGCATGAAATGCATGTAGCTTAATGCAAGTCTTGTGGAAATGTGCACTAGCGGAACATACTGTGGTCAGTCTCAGGACTCAGAACGGAACAGAAACTTTTCTTCTCAAGTAATAGCTTTTGTGTTCGTTTTGTTGGTGCAGATTATTTCCTCAAGTAGTCTTCTTTCTACTTATCTACTCTTACATAACTAATTTCCTTTATTAATACCTTTATTATGGGGTAAATGATCACTACAGTCACAGTACTTTCTACAATGTAGGGATTTTCAGTACTCTTTCCACCTGTACATACATAGAAATGTATATGCCTAACTAAAACTGGCTACATCCAAGCCTGAGAGGGTGATATTTTAAAGTGTGGTTAACATGTGCTGTAATAGTTAGGATTCACTCTTTATCTACTATTATTTATGTAAAAAGTTGCGTTGGAGAGAAAGCTTGTCAAAGACATGTCAAAGACGTTTCGGACATTGGACATTGTGTTCTTGAGAAAGGTCTTAAGAAAAAGTCTACATCAGATTCATGGCATAATCTTAAATGCTGTGTTCTTTATGTGTATATACATACACACATATTACACATTACATTTTTTTTTAGTTGGACTTTGCACAAGCTTACTAGTTTAACAAGTAGACTATTTAAATTAATTAGATTAGATTAAGAGACCCTTATTAGTCCCACAACAGGGAAATTTCACCTCTGCATTTAACCCATCCAGGCAGTGAAACAGCACATACACACTAGTGAGCACACACACTGGGGGGCAGTGAGCACATTTGCCCGGAGTGGTGGGCAGCCCTATCTGCAGCGCCCAGGGAGCAGGTGGGGGTTGGGTGCATTGCTCAAGGGCACCTCAGTCATGTGCTGTCTCTGGGGATCTAACTGGCAATCTTTCAGTAACAGGGCCAGTTCCCTAACCTCCAGCCCACAACTGCCCTTGTATATATAGCAAAATATAATTTACTCTAGTCTGTTGTGTGATATATATATATATATATATATATATATATATATATATATATATATATATATATATATGATTACACACAACAGATTAGTGTAAACTATATATTTATATTTGACTCAAAAGAGTCTTTTACTAAAGAAAAAAGGCATTTTAATAAAGACTAGATTAAGATTGTATTTAGCAACTGCTGAATCGAAAAGATCTGTCTCCTGGTTTGGTGCATGGTCAAAATAATAATCTTATTCAGTTTATATCTTAATCTTAATAATCTTATTAATCTTATAATCTTGTAGAGCTTATAGCTCTTATATCTACTGAATCGACCTGAGAAAAAGATTTCTCACCTTCAAAGATCTCTTTTGTGTAGTAGAAGTCCTGCTGTGTCCCCATGGTGTCAAAAATAATAATATCTTTGTAATTCAACCGAATCGTTTAGGGGAAATGCTTTCAGTTTTAGCTTGCTAGTTGTTCTTCCTGTTTTTCCCTAATAGTCACAAGAAAAGGAGATGTGCTTTTTATTTTCATTTCAGTTATTTTCTGTGGTGATGACATGGGAAGGGCTTTGTTACTCTGACCAGAAAAATCTGACCAAGCAGGAGATTAGACACACTCCCAGAGATCAGCAGAGAAATGTGTCAGAACTACATAAGCTTTACAAATGCAAAAGATCAAGGACATAGCAAGAATGTTTAGAATGGGGTGGCCAAGGATGCTCCAGAGATTTTACCGGGGTGGCACACTGCCAGAAAAAAAGCATTACTATATTAATATGACATAAAAGTGATGTGTTGTTTTTTTTAGTTGGCCCTTGCTACATTTTTACATAAGTCTCATTATTAGAAAGCTAGCCAGACAGCACTTTGTAAGGTAAGCTACGACATATCACTGCTATCAGACCAAAACCCCTTATCTCCAAAAAGGTAACTTTACAGGACAAGGAAAAATTTTCTTAGCTTTTAATGGAAAATATTTTTTCAAAGTAATTTTGGATCATTTCTGTTGGTCTGTCTGGTCATTAAATTTTGACACGTCATAAAAGGCAACTTACGCTTTAAAATTATGTCAAAAAATGAAAAACGACAAAAAATTTGCTGTTGTTGTCAGCAACAATATGTATGTATTTAACTGTAAAAAGTAATTAGCATGATAAATAATTACAGCTGACTACTTTTTGATAGTTGATCAATCTTACCATCAAATAGCTTCACAAAGTAGCTATGATACATTATGAGCTGCATTGCTGATGGGACCCAATGCACATTGACCCATTTGTTTGCTCAGGAAATTAGCCTGTGGAGCAACATCATAGTTTTACAACTGATTGGTATCCTGTTGGCAGATTTTCACCATAAAGCGAAAGTGATGCTTTGTGGGTGATGGTTGACTGATGATGGCTAACTGTCTCACTTTCACTACCTGGAGTGGCTAAGAATGCATCATTCTTGGCCGCCCTGTCTCTGATCAAGATTAGTTAACATAGTGCTTTTTCTCTGTACTTTAAATTTTGTACAGGGCACATTTTCTGTTTTATTTTTCTCCACTATATTAAATTTAGTACATAAGCAGTAGTTGTGCATTAAAATGTGCAGAAGTGTGTTCTCCGTAGAGGAGGATGTGATCTTATTTTCACTTAGAAAGTCAACAAGAGACTTATAGCACCAGTGCTCAAACTTTTGCATACGACTGTATATGCGGGGAAATTTTTGGACTTTGGCCTTAAAATTTTACTTGAATGATTAAATAAGACATATATCTTACTGGTTAATTCATAGGTTGTTTATCCTGCTAGGAGCTTTATTAAGAGAAAGATGTCAAGACGGCCACAGTGCTGAAAAATGTGCATGTGCAAGTTGTCGTGACATCAAACATTATGACATCTGTCTGTGAGGGTGTCATTGTTATTTCTAATAATACTGCCCAGTTCACTGTGCATGTGATATAATGGGTGCTGAGCAAAGATTAGTGAATGAGACCCACTGAGAGAAACCAAGACTCAGAAGAAGAAGTTATTCTCCTTTGGGCTGGATGGTGGGATTCATACGCTTTCATTTGTTACATAGAACATCAGCATTTTGAGAGAAGTACTCTGTTGCTTTTGACCTGAACTTTGGTCAGAAGACTTTGAGGAAATGCTGCAATTGTTGGACTTGTTCTCCTCCACCAGGTGGCACAAGTGTTATATTTTTGCAGCACATCAGAGCGCAGTGGATACAAGTTTAAAGTGTCAGTCAACAGCAGCCAGTTTGGGAGAACAAAACAATCAGCTAAAGTGCTGGGGCACCCAGTCAGTTAGGAGCTGCTTTTCCTTACTTATACAGAGTTATACAGCAGGGGTGGCAAACTCCAGGACGGAAGACGTCTTGCACAATTTGGGGTGTGTATCTACTGAAACACAGGGGTGATCTATGCACTAGGCAAACATAAGTAGCTGCATAAGGCCCCCATGAGCCAAGGGCCCATGAAAATACAAATTAGATATACTGTATGTGTTGATGTGAAATATTCCAGAGTACATCCACATTAAAAAAAAAACAAAGATGTAACAACATCATCGTGTAACAACATTGAATATTCCAATACAGCACAGCCATGGTTATACTGGACTATTCAATGTTGTCACATGATGACACAACTGCATATGAACAAGGGGGTTAAATGATAATCTGCACTATTTTTTGGTGTGATTTTCTGGAAATTGAAAAGGAAACCCTAAAAAATGTTATAACTAACTAACTAACTTCATTTTTTCATTCAGAACAGAGAGCTGCACAGGTTTAGCAGTACATAACGCTAGCATTAATGTTAGTATAGATAACTCTAATGTTGGGGCAATTACTTAAAAACATAATCCATTACCAGTGAATAATTACTTCTCTAAAAATGTAAAAAGATTATGTTACGTATAATTTTCTGACAAAATCTCATTAATCATTACTTCTATGTTTGACTGTACCAAATTACCTCACTATATTAGCAGATAATTTTTTGTTTCAAGCATTATTTCTTAAAAAAATCCAATTGATTTGCCAAAATTGTGAGATTTAACTTAATAAAGTTACTACAAATGTCTAGAAGTAAGTTTTATAATGTAGTATAATGCTTACAATGATCTCCAAATGAGAAATATTACATACAACAACTAGATTTAAGATGGTTTCACTTGCCAAGACGTCTTTTTTGCAGTGTAGACAGTTGTGTAATTGCTTTAACAAGGACACAAAGTGTTATTGATGTGAAGCACCAGCATGTAGTATCCCAAAAGTCCTAGAAAGCATGCATGTCTCACATGTCCACAATGTTCAAAAGACTCCACCATTTCAGCTAACACAAGGTTGTTTTCACTGCAGTTACTATAGTGCCAGTAGCTCCCCCTTGTGGACAGTCTTGTTAAACGTGAGAGACTGAGTGGGTGAGTGGGTGAGTAAGCGAGTGAGTGAGTGAGTGAGTGAGTGAGTGAGTGGGAAATGTTGCATTGCTGAGAAACTTGCTGGGTAAGATTTGTTTTTATGATGGTGGTGACAGAAAGCAGTGGTCGAAATTCAAAGTGCTATATTGCCATGTCAACCAAGTTGATTGTAAATGAGTGCGGTGCAGAAGGACAGTACAATAAACACATAACGACAACCCATACACACAATTACATTCGACTAAAACAATATACAACATACAATTTTGTCCCATATAGAAATAGTATCTAAAAGTACATAAATGGTCTTTAACAAAAACCTCAGACTGAATTCAGTGCTGTAACTGAAGAAAGGCTGCCAGTTATTTCAGCAGCTGTGTGTGCCACCCACTTCAGATGTTTTCTGTCCTGAACTGTTGAATTCCCATGTCTTACAGTAATTAAGAAGTCCAGTACACTCAACAACCACCAAAAACAGTTGAAAAACATTCTAGCATCACTTGTACAATTTCAGCTATTGAAAGCCTCCTTTTTTTCTAGCAGACTATGGAAGCTCCAGAGAGTAAGATGAAAAAAATGAAAGTGTGTTCCCCTTTAATTATTTTTCTGCTTCTATAACATGCCAAAGATATTAGCAAATATTTACTATTACAAATATAAAATAAATGTTTAATAAGCAATAGCCACTTCAGCCGCTTCTGCTAGCCATCTGTATACATTTTAACAATGGGTTGGTTTAGCTGTAGTCAGGGGGTATGACTGCAGGCAAAAAAAAAAGTTCTTAAACGACTTCGTATAGGGCATACTATCTTGAATTCCTCATTACAGTTAATACAGAAACATGAAATGGGGCGTTGCCGACACTCAAAATAGAGAACTGGATGAACATGTTCTGCTTCTTTGTGAGAAGCATTCTACACAAAGGGAACTTTTAGTAGATTCACTAAAGTCACATGTTCACAAGGACTCCTCACTGAAGGGATTTATTTGCATGTGGGTCAGGGATGGCTAGGGTGCACAAACAGGTTCTCATGCTCTTCTGAAGTCTCACTCAGTAAGTGGTGGTAAAACCAGTGAATGTGTAGTGAGGAAAATTGCCTTTCAGTAGTAGGCTTGTTTGAGATCAACTGCGCCTGGCCTTGGCAGTCAGCGAGAGTAGCCAGTTTCAGATGAGGGAGGAGCTGAGAAGAGAGGTGTCAAGCTGGAAGGTTTTACTGGCAGCACCTCATGTGAGCCAGCAGCTCTCGCAGCATTCACATATTAGACATAACATTTCTTTAAAAATATGAATTCAAACTTTCCACGTAAAAAAAAAACACAACACTACATATGTTAATAGGCTGTGTACTGTATTCCATACAGTTTGTGTCCACATGGTTGTCCACTGGGCTTCTAGCCAATGAGGATAAACTCTGTTGTTATCAAGCTGTCTCTCAGTTTTGTGGTGAGCAACTGCGCTGACTGGCTCTAGAAAGTTCAGCTGCCTCTCTCTCATGAGATTATAACAATGTATGTCAGCATGATGCCGATACAAGTCAGACGAATAACAAACCAGCATGCACAGAAGCGAGACAGACAGCGATCAGTCAAACAAGCCTAATGTTTTCTGGGTTTGTAAGAATTTTTAAGCTGATACACCTTTATACTTGCTTACAGCACAAGTGGGTAGGAGCATTTTTCGCTTTCAGCCATTTAGCTCCATTCACACCACAAGACATGTTCGCATGTGCTCTCTGGCATTTTGCAGTCATGCTCCCCTTGGTAGCTTAATGCACCATATGGTAGCTTAATGCACCTACACTCTCAGAAATAAAGGTACAAAACCGTCACTGGGGCAGTACCCCTTTTGTCACTGGATTGGTACTCTCAAGGGTACATCTCAGTACCTTTGCACAAGGAACATAATTGTACCGTAATCCACTGAAATGATATTTTCTAAGTTGTATTCCACACACCCCAACTCGTCTCGTCTTTTTATTTTATTGTTCTGTTTTAAAACATTAGGTCATGAAAAAGTACAAATATATACTTTTCACCTGGGAAAAACTTCTTTAAGGTATACA